CGTTCAACGCAAATAAAAATGAAAAGCAGCAGCTTGAGGTGAGGAGGCCGCCGCGCCTGGAGGGCGGAGCTGCGGCGTTGAAAAATTAATCTGGAGCCAGCCGACTGCAGGACGCCCCTGCGGACCCCCTTGAGGGACACGACTACATCACTCTGTGCAGCTCCTCCTGAAGGCTATTAAACAATTTGCACGCGGGGGTGGTGGAGAGCGAGGCGAAGAGGGGAGCGGGAAAAGATTAGAAAACGAGCTGCAACAGGATGCGAGATTTGTATCCATTTATTAACAGCAGCTCTTCGCCCACTTTCCACCGCCGCGTGCAAGCTAGTCACCCCGCCTGACCTCTCCTCCCTCTCCCTTCCTCCGCCCCAATGGAATGAGGTCCCCCGACCTTTCCCCCCCATCCTCACTCACCTGCCGGCCGGTGGCATCCGACCGAGAAGGAAATATAGAAGAGGAGGGGAGAGGGAAGGTTGGCCCGTGGCCCGGTGGGAATAGCACCGAGCACCGATAATCCGCGTAAAAGCGACAGAAATAAAAAGATGCGTGTGAAAAGTTGTTGTTTGTTGTATTTTATTGGTTGCTGGCTGTCGTGCCTGTGCGTGCCTCTGTGTGTGTGTGTGTGGGGGGGGGAGGGACTCAGTACGCACACGCCTTGCACAGCCCGGCCAGTCGGCCGCCGAGCCAACCAAACACGAAGGATAAAGTAGTGGTTCGCTTTGGGGCCATATTGACGCTCGCCCCCTGCGGCCCTGTAGGGGGCTCCCCTTAGGAGCAGCGGGCCCTCCGCCGCTGCCGGCCTCAGCCCTCGTGGGGTCGAAGAGCATCTCCAAGTACGCCGCAGAGGGTGCACTGTTGGGGCTTGATTTAGTGCGCTTTTGGGCCGTGTCGTTACCAAAGGGTCATAGAGGAGAGAGCGAGAACGAGAGAGAGAGAGAGAGAGAGAGAGAGAGAGCGTGGGAAATGCGGCGCGCGCGTCGGTGTGGTGGTGAAGAATTTTCAAGGGAACCCGCAAGAAGTTTGTTTCTGTCTGGGGCGCGGCTGGCCGGCCGGCCGGGGCGCGGGGACGGGACGAAGGGGG